TACAGACATTTATTTTCACTGTTTGAGTCACTATGGCATCAGTAGAACAGTCAGTCCCCTGACATTTACAAAGTAATGTATCACCATCTAGTGAGAGGAAAATTGATTCTGCAATTTTTTGTTTAATTTTATTTATATTAAAATACGTCTTGGGCCATAAATGTGCTTGATTAGTCCAGTTAGTTTCCACACTAGTAGTATTTATTCCACTTCAGATTAAGTCAATGAATCCCAATGTTTGTGTGCCATAAGTAGGACTGTAAAATGTGTGTCTTGGCTCAATAAATGTTCGACACCAACATAATTCAAACCAACCAAATACAAGAGCTGTATCAAAAACTGTCTGTATATAAAATTAACAATAGCTTCATAACAGTTAATAAGAGAGTGTGTGTTTTTTTTTACCTTAGTTCAAAAAAAAATGAAGAATGAATTTACACAGGTCCATGCTTGTCAGCTGCTACTTAACTACTGTTTCCTTGAACTTACTTGCACTTGGGCCCAGCCAGGTCGCCCACCTCCAGATAGGCTTCGTAACTGATCATGGCCTCTTCACTATTCACTGGAGGCACTTGGTGCTTCTCAAGCAGAAACCACAAATTCTACAGAGAGACAGGCGGGCAAACAGAGGAATTAAAAAAAAAGATGGGTATAACTTTTATGTATCACTTTTAAGGGAATGCTTGGTGTAAAGTCAGACCAAAAAAAAGAATATGTTGTATTTTTTTTAGCATGACTGTAGAGGCTTAAATTTGATTGAAAAAAATCATCCACATGCATTGGAAGCAGTGCAGCCAAAAGAAACACTACAAAATGAAAAAGAAATACACTGTTGGTTAATTTTAGAATTTAAGTTAAAGGTTTTGGGAAAATGCCTGGGCATGTTGATAAGACCATGCTTTTCGTAACAGCCCATTATTTTAAAAGAGTGAATTCCGTTTGAAATTCCTGTTTTATTACAAGTGGTCTAAATATTTGCGTTTCGGATTGTAAATATTGGCCATTTGAAATGTTTTTAGAAGCAATGTGAGTCAATGTGTGCTACCTGGAGTTCCTCATGGTCCAACGGTTCTCTGCTCTTCCTCTGCAGGAAGACCGCTCTAGATTCTTCTCTCAGTTTCTGGAGTAAAACTTCATCCTCAGCTGGTAGCTGTCAATTAACACCAAAACTATTTTTTTAAATAAAATGTCAATGTGTCCTAGTTAGTAATAATGTAATAATTAAGTCATACATGAATCAGGATGTATTGTATTGTATTGTAACATTTTTCATATTAGATGGACGTCCACGAATGTAATTGTGAGCAAGGTGATTTGATACCCTAAAGTAGAATCGAGGAATGTTCTTGTAGGATTTGTTTTTGTCACTTCCGCCCTTCCATTCAGAATAATATTTGGTGAACAGATCCATTTCTTCAGATTTCTTTTCTTCTTGGCTCCTTTCATCTGGACAGCGACAAAAACAGTCGAGAAAAATTAAATTGATCGTTCACCGAAATGAAAGATCAACTAGCCTAAGTTAGCATTATCACTTACCTCGATTTGCGTTTGCTAGCCTCCTTTTTAAAATATCCGACCAATGAGTCCAATTTTTTTTCGCCATGATTGTTTTCAAAAGTTTGCAAAACTACATCCAGATTGTTTTTAACAATTCAGTCAGTAGTCGAAATCATCGTATTCAGAAACTTGCAAGAGGACATCAGTAGACGAGTTGTATTTAACTGTGCTTCCTGTTAAATTACGTTTTTCAAAATAAATATACAATTTCAAGGACAGTACTGTATTACGAAAGATAGGGAATGGAGAATTTCTTGTTTTGAAAATCTTTGGAAGCTGACATACTTCCGTTGAGTGACCTGTGCTGTCGAATGTTGATTGCGTCACATATGCGACGGAGCTCACTGTTTTGCTGTTGTGCAAAAGCTGAAAAATAGTACAATTCCAATTTGAGTAGAGAGTTCACGTGTATGCCGGACATATGTATGTTTAAAAACAACATATTTATTCGGGTTGTCTCCTTTTCTATTTGTTTATTGAGATGTGGTGGCTATGTGCTGAGCTATGTGGGGGGATTTCCATTCATACAGATTGTTTACAAAAAGAATTATTGTAAATATTGGAATTTGAAGGCCGTTCTTCAGTTCTAAGCATAACAGGAGCGACATTGGCCATGGGGTCCAGTGTGATATTAAGCCTTAAGCGATGCCTTCGGTCTGCATTACCTTTTATTAATCAAGGATCTTTAGCGTTCCTCGCGTTGCCGAACACGGCACACATTAAGTGCTCCATGGACTGGAGCTCCGGCCCAAAATTGTGCAGAAACAACAGTAGGCAGACACATTTGCAGAGCAAATTAAAAAATAGCACCGTCAGGCAAACGAAAAATGAGTTGTGGGACAGTGTGGCAGATAGAGAGGGCAAGGACTTTTTTCTCCGGAAAAATCCTCCTATCCCCAAATACGTGTTTGCTGCTGGTACAGCGAAGAGGACGGCAGAAATGCTGAAGAGGAAGGCGGGATTTTCCCCAGAAGAGAATCATCACGAAGAGTCTGCGGAGAGCACATCCGTGAGGAAAGGTAGGGATAAATTCAACTTTCAAGAATCCAAGTATTACCTTGCTGTTAGACATTCTGTTTAATTACCAGTAAAAGGGCGTGTGTGGGTGAAAGCTTGTTTTATTTTTTGAGCCTGCAATTATAGAATGTGTTTGCTATGTTATGGTTTTTAAAAAAAATGTATATATAGAAATGTGTATTTTATCAAAGCTGATGTGTTTTACAGGAAAACTGCAGCCACCTGACCAGCCGTTATCTGTTGAGGAATGGAAGAAACTGAAGGAGTCTCTTGGAAGTCCGGAACGATTTGACATTAGCATGTTGTCTACACTATTAAAATCTGGGGCCGAGTTGGATATTGCCAAGTAAGAGGACTTAAATGGTTGCTAAGTGACATAGAAGCTCTTGCTGTTTTTGTTTTAGTTTTAAAATGCGCTACCGTCATTCGGTACTCAGGTTTAGTGATTAATTGCAAATTCTTGTATGTTCTGCTTTGCCATAGGTCTCTGCTGTCATTTGTTGCCACTGAAACAGGAACGCTTTCCTATAAAATCCTATTGCAGTATCTGGCACTATGTGTGAATGGCAATCATGACAAAGAAGTATTTGACGTCTACGATATTATGCGAGAGAGCTTCCCCTCTTTGGATACCGGCGCTTATAGCCTCTTCATCAAGTCTTTCAGCCGCACAGCAAGGTGGCGAGAGGCGATCAGCCTCCTACAAGACCTTAAGAAGGTGAATAAACTCTGGGTTGTTTAATAGCAGTTTCTTACACATTTTCATCAATCTGCAGCAAGGTGGAGGTTAGTGCTATCACAGTGACTGTATTGTCATATATCTGATTTGATTGTCATCTTGACAGGTTGTTACCCCATCATCTCGCAGTTATGGCAATATAATTGCTGCAGCCATGCTAAATGGTGATCCAAGCACTGCCTGGGCTCTTTATGAGGAATTATTGGCAAAAGGTCTGAGCCCACAACATGAGACTTGGACATGTCTTTTTAAGACAGTGGGCATGGAGGACGAAGAAACCATGTTGCTGAGCGAGCAGCGAGAGAGGCTGCTGGGAATTCTGCTGTACATGAGGAACAACCAAGTTTACCCGCAGCTGAGTCTGGCTAACAGTATCAAGACCTGGTTTGAAAGGTACAAGACAGTGATGAAGATGACGGGTTAATAAAATTGTGAGTTTAAGGAGCAGATTTTTGTGCTTGATAAGCAGTTGTACAAAAGTACTGTTCTGCCACGTGCTGTCGACACAAATTGATGTCACGGTGCCCACGGGCTCATCCTGCGACTGTCATGCCTCACCTGTTTTCTGGAGTTGTTCATGGGACGTTCGGCAGCAGGTGGCAGTACAGAACAAATGTTAACCCTGTGGGATGGATTAAAACTGGTGGATCTTTCGGTTTAATTCATATTACACAAATTTAACACCATACAACATCATTGCAAAAAAAAGGTTTGACTTGAGTTTCGTATTGAGAATTCATCATGACATTTTTTTTTCATGTTATTTGAGCATATTGTGCACTAATCTAAGATTTCCAGCCCAAATCACCAGTGACTTTGCGTCAAAACATGATTTGAACGATTTACCAAAAAAATTCACAAATGTTCAGATTAAATTTCTACAGTTTTGCTTAAATAATTAAGACGTACTTGCTCATATTAAATTAGATGGCAAAAAAAGAGAAAATGTTGATACCTTAACTAGCGCCTGATTCAGTCTGAGATTTTTACATGCTCAAAGCAAATGTGAATAATTAACTTAGTGGAGAATGTCACTAGCACCTAGTTAAGCAACTTGAGTGAAAATCACTAAATATAATTTAGACTTCTGTAGATCCTCACTGAAAAAAAAATTAGACACACAGGGAATTTAGTCACATTCTGACTTGTTTAACTAAAAGGCAGTGGTGGGAAACGCTGGTCCTTGACGCCCACCATTCTGCATGTTTTCGATGTTTCCCTAGTCCAACATACCTGACTCCAATGATCAGCTCATCTGCAAGCTAATCAGGTGTATTGGTATTGTGAAACATCTAAAACATGCAAGATAATCATGGCCCTCGAGGACCAGAGTTGGTCACCCCAACTCTCAGGTCTCATGCTCTCTTCACCGTTTTCAGTATTCCACGACAGAAGTGGAGAGGAACTTGGAGCAGCGCCTCGCCAAAGTAACTAATTGAACTGAAACACACTCAGAACAAATATTTTTCTTGATTTTCTTGTACCATGAGCTAAAAAAAATGTTTGTGGTTACTATATATGTGTATTGCTGTGAGTGTAGGGGTGTGTGCAACAGTTGTGGAACAGAGTTGGAATCCATTCAGCTGACTGCGGAGGAGTACCAACAGCTGAGAAAAAGAGTCATGACTGACATCATCCAGGGACGTGATGTTTTCAACAAGACCACGCCAGAGGTCAGTCATATTGATTGTACAGGTATTGGATGTCATTTTTAAGCAGTACCCTACTATATTTATTTGTGTTTTATTAACAGGAGAACGGCCCTGTTGTCTTTTTTAAAAAATGTGTATTTTTTTTTGCTGGCTTGCGACTCACCCCAACAGTTCAGTGTGTAATTTATAAATACATCGTTCAATCAACGACAAGTTCAGCTATGAAAAGTGCACTTTGCTTTAAAAGACAGGCTGATTGACAGTTGTGTGATGCCGAATAATATTCATGGTGGCTCGGTGAATATTTCACAAAGTCAAAAACATTTTATAATTTACAGCAGGTGTTTGTTTACTGCAACCCTGCAATTTCAAAAAATGATGTGTGTTCATTTAGCGCGAGTAAAAAATAGAAAATGAATGGGGAAAAAAAATACTGATTCCAGATCAGTAATTTTTTTTCCATTTGCCAAGAAAGATTTTCTTAAATATTACATACATATTTTTTGTAATTCAGTGTCTTACGTTTTTGTAAATGGTCTGTCACTTAGATAGCACTTTCCTACATTGGGTACTCAAAGCGATTCACCTACTGATGACGCAGCATCAGGGTTCAGTATCTTGCTCAAGGACACTTCGACACAGTAACAATGGCCGGGGATCGAACCACCAACCTCTGCGTTGGAAAACGACTACTCGACCACTGAGCCACGCCGTTAACCCTGTGGGATGGATTAAAACTGGTGGATCTTTCGGTTTAATTCATATTACACAAATTTAACACCATACAACATCATTGCAAAAAAAAGGTATGACTTGAGTTTCGTATTGAGAATTCATCATGACATTTTTTTTTCATGTTATTTGAGCATATTGTGCACTAATCTAAGATTTCCAGCCCAAATCACCAGTGACTTTGCGTCAAAACATGATTTGAACGATTTACCAAAAAAATTCACAAATGTTCAGATTAAATTTCTACAGTTTTGCTTAAATAATTAAGACGTACTTGCTCATATTAAATTAGATGGCAAAAAAAGAGAAAATGTTGATACCTTAACTAGCGCCTGATTCAGTCTGAGATTTTTACATGCTCAAAGCAAATGTGAATAATTAACTTAGTGGAGAATGTCACTAGCACCTAGTTAAGCAACTTGAGTGAAAATCACTAAATATAATTTAGACTTCTGTAGATCCTCACTGAAAAAAAAATTAGACACACAGGGAATTTAGTCACATTCTGACTTGTTTACTAAAAGGCAGTGGTGGGAAACGCTGGTCCTTGACGCCCACCATTCTGCAGGTTTTCGATGTTTCCCTAGTCCAACATACCTGACTCCAATGATCAGCTCATCTGCAAGCTAATCAGGTGTGTTGGTGTTGTGAAACATCTAAAACATGCAAGATAATCATGGCCCTCGAGGACCAGAGTTGGTCACCCCAACTCTCAGGTCTCATGCTCTCTTCACCGTTTTCAGTATTCCACGACAGAAGTGGAGAGGAACTTGGAGCAGCGCCTCGCCAAAGTAACTAATTGAACTGAAACACACTCAGAACAAATATTTTTCTTGATTTTCTTGTACCATGAGCTAAAAAAAATGTTTGTGGTTACTATATATGTGTATTGCTGTGAGTGTAGGGGTGTGTGCAACAGTTGTGGAACAGAGTTGGAATCCATTCAGCTGACTGCGGAGGAGTACCAACAGCTGAGAAAAAGAGTCATGACTGACATCATCCAGGGACGTGATGTTTTCAACAAGACCACGCCAGAGGTCAGTCATATTGATTGTACAGGTATTGGATGTCATTTTTAAGCAGTACCCTACTATATTTATTTGTGTTTTATTAACAGGAGAACGGCCCTGTTGTCTTTTTTAAAAAATGTGTATCGCGTGTCATTACTTTTCAAAGTAAAATATTTAAAACCGATCAAGAGTGCCTTGCTTGACAACCCAACACAGCAACTGGTCATGATCCTTTCTTCTGCTAGATGGCGTCTTTCGCCCGTCTACAGCTGCAGTTGCTTCAGATTCGTTAGTATATGATTTGTTTTTAATTGCAAGGGTTTTTTGTTGTTGTTTTTCATCTTGTTTGTTTTTTTTTTTTTTTTTTTTTTTTTTTTTTTTTT